GCTATACCTTAAGTTTGATGCTGAAGCACGTCAAAATGTGTCAATAAAGTAGACATTATTTAAGAACCTGCTCAATAGCGGGTCATGTTTTCTAGTTGTTTTGCATGCAAGTTTGATTTGTTTATACGAAAAAGCGTCCTGTTATTTGAGCAAAAGGGAGTGATAGCAACACCGAAACTCCTCTACTTTGTACAGTATGGTCTAGACACAAATGCTGTGTATGAGTAACCCAGGACCAACTGTTTCTTCATTGCCAGTTTGAGATCTGAAGTCCTTGTCGTGATCGTGCTTGTTATGTCGTAGTTTGATGAAACTGTATGAAGCACGAGTGCGTTATAACTATGAAGCCTGGACCAAAGTGCATACTATGATGTAAGCAGTAACAGTAACAAGGGTAAAGCACTATTCAACTTATGATCTTGTATATACCCGGGATTTAGACGTACATTCTTTCAACTGTTCACTAATAAAGCAGATCAATTTCATTTTCGCGCAAAAATGTAAAAGATACGAAGAATTCTAGTCAAAACTGAAATCTGCATAAGCAATAGCCAAAGATTGGCTTTGACAACAATATGTGCGAGACTAATTAAGAAGCTAGAATCTCGGCGCCAAGCGTAACTATGCCAGCCCTTCAGCAATGCACAAATTCTCATTGTGAAGCTAATGCACTAAATTATATTCAAAAATGCTCCTTACAAAGGAAAAAATGTAATAAAATACTGATTTTACATCAGTCTTCCAAATCTACAAAATGTTTTTAGAAGAAGTTATGAAAGCTCTCTATTAAAAATGGCTTACAGGCCTTGAATTGGATTAGAAGTCCACTTTACAAAAACAGCACCGCGAAGACTAATTGACAAATACATGTCCATGCGGAGCAATTATTGACGAGCCAAAAAGGCTAATTTTAGCACAGAAAAACTTTCAGAACTTCCTGAAAGAATGCCTTGCAGCTGAACAGCATTGAAATTAATTTTTGAAACTGCATTTATCACTATGCATCGCTTCCTGGATCCCTACTTCGAGAATGCTTCTCTTAATTTCTTCTGTACTGTGTGAACGCAACTATTAGAGCATCAAATACATGTGCGTTATCTTAATCACAATCTTCTGTGCATCTTTAATTTTTGCTCAATTTTGTATTCTCAATCTGTATTTCAAAAAGTTTCAGAACATTTGCCTATGGACTCTCATCTTTCATGATTTACCTGTTCATGCTCTTGAATTGGCTTCCACTAACAGCAGATACAGAAGAAAGTGAGCTCACTAACGTGCAAAAGTGTTTCTTTCGCTGCACTGCTTTGTGCCAAGCTGTGCAACAGGTCTGTTTGTTTTCAGTACTTAGAAATCCCTGCGCAAGTCATAACGGTTTTGAAGCTTGGCGCTTTACTTTGATATGTGTTTTAATTCATCAGGATAGTTCCTAAAGAGTAAATATCAATAGCAAAATTGACTGACATTCAATCTTTTGGAACAAGAAACTTCCTCCTTCAAAAGAATACAAAAGGGGCGGAGCTTGACGTTAACAGGCTGGAAATCTGAAAACGCGTAGGAAATCATTTTTACACAGCACGATTTCCTGAAATTCATGATTTGACAGAAAAGCCAAGATGCGAGCTATTCAGTTCATGTCAAAAGAAAATTCGTCTCTAGTCTTGGTACATGTTAGAAAAATGTTCAAATACGCTTGCGGCAACAAAATTTTTGACGATAATTTCTTTTGGAAAATTGTTGTTGCATCGTTCTAAAAGAATGCTCGCAGCTTTGATGGCCTTGTATCGGAAGATGTAGTCTAGATGCAAGAGCTTTTTGCAACCGTGATCACCAATCAAAGAAAAATATTCTTCTCAACGTATCATTTTAGAATAAAAATCTGCAGCAGTGCCAGACAGAATGCAAGCCATACAGTGATCCAGAGCTATGTGCTGTGAGATTTCGTCTTTGTATTGCTTGAACCTTCTACATAAAAGAGATGTATATGTATTTTCTGATGAACTCATTACCAATTTCAGAATGCAACAGACAAAAAATACGATGATCCCTTTGCTCTTTTTGGCGTATGTTTTCGTTCTCTTCAGCTTTCAAACCTGCTAGTAAGCGGGATACATGTAAATGTGATTAATTTCATCACTAAATTTAGAATACAACTGACAAGACATACGATGATTCAGAGCTTCGCGTATGTTTCTTCTATTTAGTGTTCGAGTTTTCTGTAGGTCCTATTTATATAACGAATGCGATTCATTGGATATTCCAGAATGTAACCACTATGAGTTGCTGGGACAAATGCAGAGATTTTAAGCCAGCGGAACTACTCGAAACTGTCAACGGGCTTCATGAAAAACAAGAGAATCTAGCGACGATCGTTATCTTCAAGCCAATTCAGAAAGCTACTTTCTATGTAGTACAATATAGAGCACTAGGCGATGCTGACTTTGCACCTCATCAATTTGCGGTAAAACTGGAGAAGCTATCGACTTGAAAAAAAACTTTTATTCTTTTTAGATCACTTTACAACCTTTTATCACAAATTTTATGGGACCTAAATCAATCTTCTGTAAATCTACCGAAATACGGTAAGTTCATCCAAATTTCCGCTGATAGCGCTTTAGACCATTTTTTGGCAACCTTAATTGAACATTTTTTCTGTCTTTTATTGGCACATATATAATTCTCATCAAACAAGCTTTTAGATTTATTCTCATGCAAACTTTTAAGCGTGGCAGCTGTTTCACCTTCCGGAATTGGACCTTTTTCCGATATTTTTACACTTGGTCCACCATCTCCAATAATAAGTTGGAGATTAGAACTAGATAAGATGGTTTATCTAGTACGCTTTACTTTTGATTCAATGCTAAATCGCAAGGATCTACGAGAAGTTCAGAATACCCCTCTATCCAAT